TCCCTGTCAGTTCCTCCAGGGGGTTGGAGATGGCCGAGAAATGGTTAATGAACCTTCGAAAGTAATTAGCGAATCCCAGAAACTGTCTTACGTGCGTGACCGTCGTCGGGACAGGCCAGTTATGCACGGCCTTGATCTTCTCTGGATCTGGAGAAATGCATTGGCCGTCTATCCGGTGCCCAAGAAACAGAACGTCTGTCCGGCCGAATTCACATTTAGACGGTTTGCAATATAGCTCATTCCTCCTGAGGGCGTTTAAGATGGTTCTGACATGATCGAGGTGCTCCTCCCATGATTTGCTGAATATGAGGATATCGTCTAGAAACACCACAACGAATTTACGCAGGTATGGCTGGAGGACACTGTTCATCAAGGTTTGGAATGTTGCCGGGGCATTTGTTAGGCCGAAACCCATCACTGTGAACTGAAAGTGACCGAATGGGGTATTTATTGCTGTCTTCGGAATATCTGTTTCTTCTATTCGAATCTGATTGTAACCGGACCTCAGATCTAGCTTGGTGAAATACGCACTGCCTTGGACGGTATCAAAGAGGTCGTCAATATTCGGTAGGCATGCCTTGTTCTTAATGGTTATGCGGTTTAGCTCACGCCAGTCGCATACCATTCGAAGTGTTCCATCCGCTTTCTTAACGAAGAACACAGGGGCTCCGTATGGGGATTTGCTGGGCTGGATGAATCCTCTACGGAGCAGCTCGGTGAGCTGAGCTTGAAGCTCATCCATCTCTGGTTTTGGTAAACGATATGCTGCACGAGATGGCGGTTTAACTCCTTCTTCCGTTTTTATCTCGTGATCTGCGCCTCTTCTGGGTGGCAGCTTGTTTGGAAGCTCATCGGGAAAGACGTCCCCGAACTCCTTCAGCAGGTCCTTGACATCCTTCTGATCCTCCCTACCCGGACTATCCACCGTCTGTGGCTCGTCCGGATCTGCTGTCACATACGCTAGGATTCCTTCTGCGCCACCTCTCATTGCATGCCTAGCCTGCTTCCCTGAGATGAGGAACGTCTCGATCGGTGGGTTGGATTTGTCCGTGCCATCATTTTCACTCGGTTGACAGATGATGGATCCACCCTCCAGCTTGATTTCATTGGTACGAAAATTGATCTGTGGGTTCGTCCGGGTCAGCCATGGTTTGCCGAGGATCACGTCATACCGCGTCATAGGGAATACTAGGAACTGTTGGTGCTCGCTAAAGTCACCGACTACGGTCTTTAAGCTGTCCGTTTTCGTAATAGGCTGTGAGCGGACCGATCCATCAGCAAGTGTGACATTCAGGACGTCGCTACCGGTTGTTGTGGAGATGTTGTGCTTCTTGACAAAGTCAGTTGAAATGAAGTCGTGGGTTGACCCAGAATCCAGTAGCATGGTAACGCGACGTCCATTCATCTTGCCCTGGACGCGCATTAGGTCGTGTTCGTTGTCGGCGGAAATGCTCCCTGTGCTGGCGGTTACTTCATTAGGCCGGCCAACAGTATCAGGTGATGAATGCTTGACAGGCGAGGCTTGAATTTCGGTCTCCTCGAGGCGTGGTTCCTCATTTGCTAAGGGGCTGAATTTGTTCTGAACTTTGATTCGTGGCCTATTCCTGGGTGCTCTCGTGTTCGCCAGTAGTCGCACTCCCTTCCTTACTGGCGTCCATCGTTTAAAGAAGGCTTGCTTGTGGCGTTCCTCCCTCCTTCTGGACAGAATCTGGCAATATGGCCGGGTTTCCTGCAGGTGAAACACAGCCTTGAACGACCCTCTGGCTCCCTGGTTTCTCTCCCACCGGATGGTGTTGGTTGGCTTGACCAGGGTCCAGGCTGGCGCCTCTGATGCCCTGGTGCGCGCACTGCCTTGGCGTAGCTTGCTTGGGCTAGCCGCATCGACTGGTCTGCTGAGACCGCAGCTCGTATGGCTTGGGCCAAATGTTGCGGATGCTCCTTAACCCTTTATTACCGGATTACTTGCACAGCATGCACCAGAATTACGAATTTCAGCACAATTTCCAACTTCACCAGGTCATAACTTTGGTCTCCTTCACTTGATTTTCACAATCTAGGGCTCGTTGGAAAGCTCTTGGCGAGAGCAACGCCAGGGTACCAAGCTCCATTATCCAGTCGCCACAAATCAGGCGCGGTAACACAGCAAAGTCGTCTCCAAGCCTGATATGCAAGCAAATTCGTCACATCAACGCCATTCCACTCTCCTTCATCGCAGAACGCTCAAATTTGTTTGAGACGATTCAAACTTCAGCCGACTACGTCATTATCATGTGCTTAGTCGCTCAAAGAGCACACGAAAAGGGATTTCCCCCAAAAATGGCGAAGTGATCGATCAAAAATTTGAATTTGCCGAGATGAGAATACGGCGCGCGATATCTCTGGCGTCCGACATCGTAACTCTTCGGCGATTGTTGCATTGGATAGCTTGGAGTTTCCGCTACCAAATAGACCTTTCGATTGTTGAATTCGCACAAGAAATGATGGAGTTACGAAGATATTACCGGCCTACAGACGTTCGATCATAATATATGATCGAAAGTCTGCAGGCCGGTAATAAAGGGCTAAGTACCTCACCGCTTAGGCCCTGAGCCAGCCCACGCGTGAACAAGATAGCTCTGGAGTGGTCATCAAGCTCGGGAACTTGTAAGCTAAGCCGCGAAAATTTGTTGATGTATTCGTCAAGAGTCTCATCTTGGTGAAGAGCGAATAAGTCGATGCGCGCCTGTTCCCTGTCATAAACCGGGCCGTACACTTCTCCCAGCTTGCTCTTCAGGTCTGGCCAGTCGGAAAACAGCGTGTTTGCCTCCTGAGAGGCGATAAACCAAAGACGAGCGTTGCCCTCCAGAAAACTCGCCGCGTAGCTCAAGCGCTCCTCCGCGTTGTCCAGCTGCAGGGACTTCATGGCGAGTTCGATGGCGAAGGCCCACTCCTTGAACTCTCTTGTATCTCCACGAAACACAGGCGGAGACTTAACATGGCGCATGCGTGGCCTCTCTCCGCTGGGAGCTTGAGCACGTCTTGGCGTTTGATCTGATCCATCGCACTGACCGAGTGCGATAAGGTGATTCAGACGCTTCTGAATCTCGAATATACCGTAGGCGACTAATGCGGCCACTGCGCATAGCCCGAACACGACGAAAAGAACAACCATCCTCTTGCTACCAGTGTAACAGTCCAACTAACTTCAGTAGTCATTCTTGGAATATGCAATGATCCTTGCCATAATGCATTCTTATATACATGAACAAGCAATGATGGACATAACACCTAACAGCAGCAGCGTGATAATAGCAGGTGATAAGTGTATCCTATTCCTAGTGTTAGTAGTAACAGTGAATCTGTTACAGAGTGTGTGGTCAAAATTTCACTCAAATCCATTGAGAAACACCAAAGTTACGGTCAATTGAATGCCATATGAAATTTATGGGTAGGCTGCTAAGGTGCCAGACTACCCAAAAATTCGCTGAAAAATTGAATTTGTAAATTCATATTGAGTGCTACGTCAGTTGAAAGAGCATGAATAGCTGCAAATTCTCTGAAAATTGTGTCCCTATCTGACCAGCCGTTCAAGAGTTATGGCCGAAAATGTGCCCTTGCAAGGAAAGATTTTTTTTGTTGCATGCTGTCATTTGTTGGCAGCACTGTATTTGAATGTGAGCAGACCGTGCGCAACTTGTCGTATTATGGAAACACGCGAAAGTGTGCAAAAATTTTGCCCCAAGTCTAAAAAAGTCCAAAAAATCACGTTAATAAACAACGTATTGGGCTGCACGGCGGCGGGCGAAGCCCGCCGCCGTGCAGCAGGACTTTTGCCAGCACCCTCGTGACGTTGCAGATATGTGGCTTGATTATTGTAGTTGACGTTGATTTAGCGACTTTGGCAAGTTTGAGTCGTGTCAAGAATTCAGGTAGGATTCAGTACTAGGCAGTAGTGAAACGTGAGTGGCAGTCTTTGCCGGTTTCTGAGGGTATCCTGGATTTGGTGTGCAGCGCTGTGGAAATGGCTTGCTGTGGAGGTCCCAGCACTGGATGTTGTATCAAAGGTACGACCTCGTAGCACGTGCTAAACCTAAAAAAATTCAAAAATTGACTTGGGTCTGTGGGAGTCCGTGAGAGAACGCCCACTCGTTCCGTTGTGACAGATTCCAGGGCCACGTTGAGGGGCCCTACCCCACCACCCATGGCTCCTTCTGGACTTGTTTTAGGTTTGGGTCCCGCGCACGGACAGAATGGGCACGAAAATGTGAAAAAAATGTAAATGCATTTGTTTGGCTCCTGGGTGGCTCGCACACCGTAGCACTATGCCGGAAATTTGAGTTTTTCCGGCCTGGAAAGCCTGTCAGTGAGGCGCAAGAACTTGCAAATCATGTCCTGAGGGCCAGCATAGTGGCAGGAGTGTGTGGTCAAAATTTCACTCAAATCCACTGAGAAACACCAAAGTTACGGTCAATTGAATGCCATATGAAATTTATGGGTAGGCTGCCCCCTTAAGTTAATTAGAAGTTTTTCCAGGTCCGATTTCTATCAATACGATTCCCACATAACAATTTCTGGTAATTCGAACCTCGAACTGGACATGTTCGGTTAATTAGAAGTCCCATGGATTCCACTTACATAAAAAATGTGTGGGATTTGTGCTGATAATTCGAAGTTAGCAAAGTGTAATTCGAAGTTCACTGTACACTGTACTGGTTGTTATGTTATGACGTAATGCCGTACAACTTTAGCTCTACTGTGTATGCACGCACGCATATCTTTGAAGGTCTTCTCTGTCGTTTACAGATTGAATCTTGTCAGTTTTTCTACTTCGTATATTCTAACCAATAAACTACTTGTCTCTTGTCTACCGAACCTAACATGGCGCAGTGAACTACTAGTAACCTGAGTACGGAATATTTGACAGCCTGTAGTTGTCCGTGAATTCTGTAGCCTTTTATCTTCAAACGATCGATCGTGTAGCAGAAGTGTCTTGTAGTTGTAGAATTTGTAGAATTGTCGTGATGGCGGAACCTGGAATTTCTCCAATCAGTGCTGAAATCGTATCCCTGCTCGCCTTGATGCAGCAGCAGATGAAAGCGGCTGAGGCACGCGAGACTCGCCTCACCACACTGGTCGAAAACGCAACGCGCGACAACCAGACACCACCCAGCACTTCGACATCCTGCAGTCAGAAGCCGATTTCTGTCGAGCGACCGGTGTTGCTCAGCACTGCAACCATGGTCGATTTCACGGCATGGGAGGAGGCTTGGAGAGATTATGCTGTGTGCCAGCACCTCGCCAGCCAAAGTCGTGAGACTCGGGTGTCCGCTCTTCGCCAGGCGTTCGATGCCGACATTCGTCGTTTCATGCGCGAAGATGTGATTGTCATCTCCCACAGTGCCGATGCTCCGGAGATCATCATAGCAGTAAAAGCGTACATCCGACGCCAACGGAACCCCCTCCTAGATCGAATTGCGTTTTACGATAGAAAGCAGCAGCGCAATGAGTCATTTGACTCCTTCTTTACTGCAATGAGGGAGCTGTTTGCACAGTGTGATTTCCCTGATATGGAGCTGTGCAGTACGTGTACACCTCAGCTATGCAGTACTTGTCCCCAGAGCCTCCGCAAGGTGACGGACGACATGATGCGAGACCGCATCGTAGTTGGCATAGCCAACGACGACACGCGCCATAAGCTCCTGGCAGCTCCGTCCCTCACCCTGGAAACCGCGGCCAAGATCTGCAGGGCTGAAGAAGCCGCACAGCAGACCGGTGACGGCATGGTACCGGCATCCGTGAATGCCGCAACAAGGTCATCGTATCAACGCAGCAAATCCGCTTTGGTTAGTAAGCCGAAATCTGCTGCAGCTGACAACCCGGCGAAGTGCTCGCAGTGCGGACGATCCCAGCACACGAAGTCAATGTGTCCTGCCAAGGGCAAAGAGTGCCGTAAGTGTAAGGGCAGGGACCACTTCGCGGCAATGTGCCGCAAGACCATCGCATGCCTCACCATTCACGCAGTGCAGGCTGGTGACAAAGTGATGCTGTCAACACGTCTTGACGACAACGACCGGTCGTGCACGTTAGAGTGGTTGCCAGATACTGGCTCGGATGTTGATGCTATTGGTGCTAGTCATCTCCGCAGACTTGGTGGCAGTGTAGCTGATCTGGAACCTGACCCCGACCATGTTGTCGCCGTGAACGGTCAGCCATTGACCAGCTTGGGAACTGTTCCCGCCAGGGTTGTCGCTCGTGATGTCACGCACACCACTCGTCTACATGTGTATGACGAACTCAGTAGCGCATTGCTGTCGCGCTCCTCGCTCAAGGCGTTAGGTTTCTTGCCGCCTAACTGGCCACAGATCGCTTCAGTGACACAAGGGACATCCCGTTCTGCAGAGCACAGCAACCCTACACCAGACCAGCGTGTACGTATCCGCCAGGACCTCCTCGACGAGTTCGCTGACGTATTTGCAGAGGACACGCTCCGACCCATGGACGGTCAGCCGATGCACATCCAACTCGCGCCTGACGCCCAGCCGTTCAAGTTGAACAATGCCCGTTGGTTACCTTACGCCTATCGTGACCAGGTGAAACTCCAGCTGGACAAGATGGTTGCAGATGGCATCATCGCACCGGTCTCAGAGCCAACGGAGTGGTGTCACCCCATCGTCATAGCCGAAAAGAAAGGCACTGCAGAAGTCCGGATGACGGTGGATTTCACTAAGCTTAACAAGCAAGTCGCCCGGCCCGCGCATCCCATGCGCGCATCTCGCGATGTTGTTTCTAACCTTGGTAATGCCCAGTATTTTACCAAGCTGGATGCTCGCCACAGCTACTGGCAGGTCCCCTTGGACGAGGAGTCCAGAAGCTTGACCACATTTATCACACAGTGGGGCAGATATCAGTACCTGCGGAACCCACAAGGTCTGATTTCTGCTGGCGACGAATTCAACCAGCGGACCGATGCAGCATTCGCTGGTATTGAGCAATTCTCCAAGGTCGTGGATGACTGCCTGGTCTTCACTGATTCCTTTGAGCAGCACCTGGAACGAACTCGTGAAGTTCTTCAACGCGCTCGTCGGTATGGTATCACCCTGTCAGCCAAGAAGTTTGCTTTCGCCGAGACCGAGATCAATTTCTGCGGCTACGTGATAAACAAGTCCGGCTGGAAGACAGACCAGGAAAAGACCCGCGCTATCACCGACTTCGAGATCCCTGCCAATCGCACTGACTTGCGATCATTCATGGGTCTCGTCAACCAGTGCAGTGATTTCACCTCAACCATCGCCGAACACGCAGCGCCTCTCCGCGGTCTGCTGAAAGCCAAGAATGAGTTTCTCTGGCTACCCGAGCACACAGTCGCTATGGACGCTGTGAAGCAAGCACTTGTTGACCCACCGTTATTGGCCTTCTTCGACCCGTCAGCACAGACACGTCTCGAGTGTGACGCCGCTAGGACCAAGGGTCTCGGATTTGGCCTCTGGCAGTACCAGAATAATTCGTGGCGCCTCATTCAGTGCGGCAGCAGATTCATCACCGACACTGAATCCCGGTACGCAATGATCGAACTGGAGATGTTGGGTGTCGCCTGGGCCATCCGAAAATGCCACACCTATCTTGCTGGCATGTCGTTTCATGTAGTTGTTGACTATCAGCCCCTTGTTCCAATATTGAACACATACACACTGGACCAGGTTGAGAATCCTCGGCTCCAACGTCTGATGACCAAGGTACAACTCTATCAATTCGACGTCTCGTGGCGCAAGGGCTCTGAGCATGCCTTTGCTGACGCCTTGTCGCGTGCTCCAGTGCAGAACCCGGTTGCCGATGATCTCCTGGGAGAAGCCGACTCGCTATCTGGACAAGCCATCCGTGCATGCCTTCAGCAGGATGACTCCGGATCAGCACTATTTGGTCTCCCGTTCTACGAGCTCCGCGATGCCGCTCAGTCTGACGTGGATTACGTTCAGTTAGTCTCCTATATCCGTGACGGCTTCCCTTCTGCCAGACGTCACATGCCACCTGCTCTCGCTCCGTATTGGAATGGCCGTGAGCACCTCACCCTGGATAACGGCATTGTCCTCCGTGGCTCTCGTCTTGTTGTGCCCCAGTCTCTACAACGCCGTGTACTGACTGACCTGCATTCGTCTCACCAGGGCCTGGAACGTACCAAGCGTCGTGCGCGTCAAGTGGTTTACTGGCCGAGGATGAGTGATGACATCACAGCCCTGATCCGTGCCTGCCCTGTCTGTCGTGAGCTCCAACGTTCGCAGCAGAAGGAGCCATTGATGCGCGAGCCACAGCCGACATTTCCATTCGAGTATGCCAGCGCAGATCTCTTCTCCTGTCAAGGCTGGCAGTTCCTGGTATATTCTGACCGTCTGTCCGGCTGGCCGTGTGTAGCTCGAATTGGCCGTACCGCTACCTCCCATGACATCATTTGTCACTTCCGCCGTTGGTTCGCAGATGTTGGCGTACCGCGCAAGATATTCACTGATGGAGGCCCGCAGTTTGCCGCTTCCCGTGTACGTGAGTTCTGTGAGCGTTGGGGTGTGGGACAGTGCTTTTCCACCCCACACTACCCTCAATCCAATGGCCACGCGGAATCAGCAGTGAAAGCAGTGAAACTGCTCATTGAGAAGACGACCCGGAATGGAGATCTGGATGTAGACTCCTTCCAACGCGGACTGTTGGAGTGGCGCAATACTCCCCGCCCTAATGGCAGCAGCCCCGCCCAAGTGTTGTTCGGTCAGTCCCTCCAGTCGTTTGTGTTCGCCCACCGTGCCAGCTTTGATCGACACTGGATTGCGTCTGCTGAAGCTGTGGACTCTGTAGATCCGAAAACACATTATGACAAATCGGCCCGCTCTCTCCATTCTCTACAGATTGGCACCCATGTTGATGTTCAGCACCACCAGACCAAGCTGTGGTCCATGCGTGGCGTCATTGTAGCAATTGGCAGTCGGCGCGACTACTTCGTCAAGATGCCCAGTGGCCGTGTCCTCTGGCGTAATCGCCGCTTTCTCCGTCCGTATGTTCCCCCGTGTGTTGACTCCGCTAGTCATACGCCTTCCCCAACTTCATCAGTACGTGTACCTACTGACGCCGCTACCCAGCCTGTTCGTCGTAGCACTCGTATTCGCAAGACACCTGATCGTCTCACCATTACATCTACGTCTGGACAATCATATGTGTGACAATGTTTGTCTGTAGCATTTGGTCTCATCTTGACATCATGCCTATGTCATTTCATCTCGTCTGTTATGACTTTATTTATTTTTGTTGAGACAAAACCAGGTTTTATCTCAGAAGGGGCGTGAGAGTATAATAATTATGTTACTGTGTTTGTTATTTTGTGTCCGGTTGACACCCATGGAATTTTATCTTCGAAGGGGCGTGTTATGTTATGACGTAATGCCGTACAACTTTAGCTCTACTGTGTATGCACGCACGCATATCTTTGAAGGTCTTCTCTGTCGTTTACAGATTGAATCTTGTCAGTTTTTCTACTTCGTATATTCTAACCAATAAACTACTTGTCTCTTGTCTACCGAACCTAACACTGGTCAGTTCAGTTTGCATGAGCAAGCTGTGCCGCTCAGTTCAGTATCCGTGAAATCTGTGCCTAATGTCCATAGCGCAACTCTGCGTGACCGTGAGAGCATTTTGACATACATTGTGTTGTGGGTTCATGTTTGGATAATTAGAATGTCCGGATGATTAGAAGTTTTTTCCTGGCATTTTGAGGTTCGAATTATCACGATTCCTCCCACCTGGAGCACTCTTTCTTATCACCATTACCACCGCTGCTTCTGCACATCTCACGCCGTACATATTCATTGGTGCAACCGGTACTTAGTACGAAGTGTGTGAAAAACCGGGTGGAAAGCGACATCCCCGCCGTCGATACCCAATCACGGTGTGAATATTCAACGGATGGACAGACGGACAGACAGAGACAGACAGATAGACAGGCAGGCAGGCAGGCATAAACAGGTAGGTTGAGAGAGAGAGAGGATTTAATATCATCTAAGTTCCAATACGCATGCACTATACTTTAGATACTAGAGAGATTGCACACAACGAAAATTCGTAGCTCCGTAACGAAACTTTTTAACGAAAAAAAAGTTAACGAATATTCGAAAACCGTGTGGTGGCGCACAGTGTGTGAACTTTTTTGCAGTAGGTCCACGTGGCGTGCCCGCGGGTATAGTCAAGACAGGGAGTTCTAAAATATCAGTATTTTAGTACTCCACGTTAAGAAAAATATTCTCGTAGATCTGCTCTGTTTCGGTCGCGTTTGGACGAATCTTCGTAGCAGCTTTCGTTAATCGAACCCGGGCAGTAAAGATCTTACGAAGTTTCGTTGTACGCAACCTCTCTAGTGATCATAAGCTAACTATGGTACACTCACCGTCCGTTCTAACACTCACCGTCTGTTTTAAGGGAAATGGGAAGAACCTATCAGTAGCCTGATTCGGAGGACGAATAAATCTCTCCACAGTATCTACATGGCCGCCCGTGTCGAAGAAATACCTCAGCCGTAAATCGCCCAATGTTTCCAGGTAAGGAAGCGTGACGTCAACTTGTGAATTTTCCAGAGTCCGTGGCTGTCCGGGAGCCTGCACCGTTGGAAGGAAGAAATCGAACACGCCGGAACCGTCCGCCTGAGTGACCTGAAGCTCCCTGTCATTCAACTCACTAAATGTACTTGCGGATTGGATAGTACTGTGGCCATTGAATTCATCAATCAGAGTCTGCGCAGAGAGTGCAAAGGATTTCCCGCTGAGAATGCCGAACGCAGCAGTGTAGACAGTTGAAGGACTAAGCTCAGTGTCATCTGCCCCACCTTGAGCGAGCAAATTCACGTCGCGACACTCCTGCTCCAGAGGGCGGTTTGCGCCTGGCCCCGATGTTGTGTCCACTTTGCACTGCGCGGCAGAGGATTCCATGGCAACCAGCTTTACTACGTCCGTCAGTCTATCACGCAGGTAATGAAAACTGCTGGGGACGAGAAAGAGCCCTGTGTCACCAGTGGCATCGTGTTCGGCACGACGGACACCACATCACTACTCAATGACATCAGCAAAACGGGAGCAGTGCTGGATGTTGCTGATGGTACATTGAAGTGCCCCGGCCAAGCCCATGTCAGTGATCATTTCAGCATGTACATAGAGCTACCGGACAGTATTGTCCCAAGCAACGTGGAGCAAGAACAACTGGACAACATTGGACTGGAGATATTAATATCCGGTCTTGACGAGGACACAACCAACGTGTGTACGCCGCTTACACCTGTCCCTGGACGTATACAGGCTGAACATACTCCGTTACAAGCTGGTTGCTACAACGTCTCAGCCAAGATCGGCTGTGTCCCCCTGAAGGGTAGTCCACAGAAGCTGGTGGTGTCAGCGTCTCAATGTTTTGATGGAAATCGCTGTGGCAGTGCTTTGAGTATCACCAATGATGGTCGCTCACTGAGTTGTACCAGGGATGATTGGTCATCAGCATGTACCACACCCATGGCCACTGGTACTGGTAGCAGTACACTGAAGGTGAGGATTGACAATACCCTACGTGGTCACATCTGTCTCTCCGCCTGTTCATCCAGTAATCCAAACCTGACAGGCACCAATCAACAGGGCAAGGCACAGTGTTTTGGTTGGTATGGCGCTTATGCTGATGACCAGCACACTGGCACAGCCCTTGGTCAGCCCTGGCGAACTGGTGACGTCATTCACCTCACCGTTGATCATGACCATCACACTCTCACTGGCAGACATGAGAGAACGGGCATCACGGAAACCATCCCGAACGTCACAGGTAACCTGTACTGGATTGTGACACTCTACAACGCGGGTGACAAAAAATCACTCTGGTGTAGGAGAACGGGTGGTGAACACTGCAGATTGCCTTGGCTATCAATATGATCAACCAGTGTCTTCACCTCTTGTACGTGTGTTTCCCAGTTACATGTATTTGACCTGTTATGTGATACATCAATGAGTGCACTACAATACTACTCAAAGTAGCAAGTATATGTATAGGCTAGTTCCCCTCCACCCCTGTTTTTTGCATAATTACAGTATATCCATTACGGGTGGTAATTTCCCTGACAGTTTTCATCAGTGTATTACTGCATAGATTGTACTGGGTGGTTATTTTCCTACCAATTATCATCTGTGTCCTACTCTCTGCATAGATTAATATCATTCTTGGGGAAGACTCCAGCTGAGTCTTACACAAACTGGGAATTTGTTGTTGTTGTGGAAGGCAGGGCGATTTTGAGCATGTGGTGTGGCAAATGCGCATCTGATGTTCCAAGTATACGTGATCCGACCTGCATGGAGCTTCTCACTGTTCATGCCAAGTGTGTGTCCAGTAAGGATGACAAGTTAGACTGATTTGAAATCGCCAGAGGACAGAGGAGCACTACAGACTAGCCAAGAACGCGACATTGAGAAAGCCATGGGGAGACCATTATTGACAAAAGCAGCACACCTTCCCATCGTCACCGCAGTTTTCACCATTCGCCCATCTGCAAGTTCTCGCCCGCAGGCAACGGTCATACGTTGACCACAGAATCATGGAGGCACTGTTCATGAGGAAGAGGAAGCCGGCAGTGAACAGTGACAATGGTTGGCGACTGTTGGGTGATGTGTAAATATGTCTGTCATTACCATAATTTGTGCAAGAATGTGGGTGCACCGTGTGTGTGTGTGTGTGTGTGTGTGTGTGTGTGTGTGTGTGTGTGTGTGTGTGTGTGTATGTGGTGTATTTGTGTGTATGTATGTGTGTGAGTGTTGCTAGAAGTGTGCATTTTTCTGCTTTGTTCTCACGCTAGTAATCCTGCACTATCACTGCACTATATTTTCGCTTCATACATATCACACAGAATTATAATCTCGCTTCCTGTGGTATTGCAACATTTTACGCTTTACCATCACACTTTGGACACTAGTACTTGTCACATACATGTTTATATAAACCCCTGTTCTGTCTACAGTAGACTTATTCCCGATGATGGGCCTTGCCCGAAAATTTGAGCTAATGTATATCAATTGCAGTGTAGCCTAGAGACCGTTAGAGAGAGTGTGTACAAGGTGTGTACAGGATGTATGGATTCAAGTATTGGCTACAGTGGAATCTCCAAACCTTGAGAAAAGGCCATGAGGTGTTGTCTATAATAATAATAATATTAATAATATGAATAATCTTCACTAGTTTGAGGGAAAGAGACAAACGGTAAAAGTCTGAAGAAAAAATTGATTGTCACCACCAGGACTCGAACCAGGGACCCTCGCTTGTAGCTAGAGATGCTCTAACCACTGAGCTATGGTGTAGTCGTCATCCCAGCAGAGACTGTTCAACACAGACTTCGTTTTTTTTTATTTTTTATTTTTTTTATTTTTTTTTATTGGGTAGCTCACACTTCCTGTGAATCCACACAGGCGGGTGGGACGCAGCCCTCACTGTACCCACACACTTCACGCACACTCTAGCACGCGGGGAGCCCCAAGTCATAAAATCTTCACTAGTTTGAGGGAAAGAGACAAACGAATAATATGAACAATAATAATAATAATAACTTAGAAGTTGCGACTTCGGCGGTAATAGTCATGAAGTTGGTTGCTCCAACGAGGAGCAGACGCTTCTTGCCGAACTTGACACTTGACTGACTCACGACTGCCATCCGGAGCACACGAGGAGCACGTCGAACCTTCCGCTCGGCAAACCTGAAAGAAAGCACCACTCCCTGCTCAATACACAGTGTTTCGGGGAATTCACCCCTCATCAGTTGAGCTTGAGTAGGCTGAGGAAGATTGTGCCTGAAAAGCACCACATATATACTGCTCTCCAGGCCAAACCATCACCAGGGATACAAACTTACAGAGACCCTTTGTTTCCAGCGCGACAAACACAAACTGATGAGGGGTGAATTCCCCGAAACACTGTGTATTGAGCAGGGAGTGGTGCTTTCTTTCAGGTTTGCCGAGCGGAAGGTTCGACGTGCTCCTCGTGTGCTCCGGATGGCAGTCGCGAGTCAGTCAAGTGTCAAGTTCGGCAAGAAGCGTGTGCTCCTCGTTGGAGCAACCAACTTAATAATAATAAAAAAATAATAATACGAAGTAGTGGTTGCGACTTCGGCGATGATTTGTCAGAAAGGTTTGCTCCCCACACCGGAGCTCGCGCTATT